AAACACATACTGGTGTGTTACTTACCTAACAAAACTTTGACTATTTTACCACGTTAGCCATTGGGACCGGACAATTCTAGTGTGATCATTCTGCCTTTAACCACATACAGACCAAGCACTTTTTTTAGGATCACTTTATTGGCCATATACAATTTCTTGCAGTAGGAATTTGTCTTTTCGCAAACCCCAACTTGCTCTCAATGAGACTCACAGACACACAGACAAAGAGAGAAGCTTGGGGTCAGAGCGCAGGGTCAGCCATTTATACGGCGCCCTTCAAGCAGCTGGGGTTAAGGGCCTTGCTCAGGGGCCCAACAAAGTAGCTTCCAGCCACTGGCACAAATCCTTAGCCACAGAGCCACCACACCACCTGTCAGTGGGATTGAGGTAGAAGCCGCAGTGTGAGGCAATTTAAAAAAAATGAGACATTTACTTTCTGATGAGACAGAAAGACTTTTCAGGCCAAATGCCTTGTATCCTTCAAGAGCTCATTCTGCCAGTTATTCCTGTTTATCTGTGACTGCTCCACTGTACACAACTCCACCAGGTACAAACACAATGGAGTTGCATGTGTTCAGACGGGCTTCATTCTGAAGATTTCCAGCTTCTACACCTATAGACATAAAAAGAGCTTTGCAATACCTAAGAAAGGTTACAAACCAGAGGAGACCATCTAGCCCTGCTTCGCAGTTCATAGTTAATTGATGAAAATATCTCATCCAGCTGGTTCTTCAAATAAGCCAAGATATTCAACAACATAGCTGTGTAACTTGTTCTTCAGTGAAAAATGTAATTAATACTGTAATGTGCAAATTTAACTTTATATCACTTGAATATTGCTTGAATTAAATTATACACTTTTAACTATTCTAAAATTTGACCTTTTTATTGCTTCCCTACATACTTTATAGGATGTAAACAATGTATGAATTTAAACACCTTAAAAGTCTTATTCATAAGAATCCTCTTGCATCTCAGTGTTTCCCACTTTGTATTTATAATTTACGTTTTTACAGCCTGCATTTAAAACATAGAATTTTTCTATATTAAATGTCTCCTGCCGAGTGCTTGCCCAATCCCGAATTCTATCTAAGACTTTTTGAATTTAATTTACAGTGTATGCTAATCCTCCTATATTTATAGCATCTCCACACATAGGAAACAGAAGTCAATTACTAGCTACAAGAACTGTTATCTGGCAAGCAGACAATGTCAATGTCTTCATCCTGCTTGGTTGTTCTCCCTCCAAGAATTAAAGAGGAATTGCAGTCCCAGTTTCTCAGAACAGTTATTAATTCTCAGTAACAAAATAAATTAATGGTTCCGCAAAACTTCAGAAATTCTGAATTCAGCACAAAATCTTAGAATTTATGAAAATACTGTATGGTGTTCATTTTGTCACAAACCACTGGTCTCGCCATGGGCTCAAATTGCGAAGTGAAGCAGCCCTTCCTGCTCACTAATCACTGTAATAACTAATTAGCGAATAACAACAGGTATTAGCGAATAACAACAGATTGTGTAGCACACATTTCACTGCAGAAATGTTCCAACACGATCTGTATGCAGTATTAACAAGTAAGTACTATTTGTCGGCAATATCTATTAAGAGATGAATTCACAAGCTTCACGTCACCGGAAGGTTTGTTGCCTCATTCTGAATTGCAGAGTATGGTGCTGTGCATACTTGGAAATTTAGCTTATTTTGTGATGTAAATCAAAGGTTTTACACACTACTATGTACATTTTGCTTTCATTTTTTATTATTGCACTCATTCATGTTGATTCTTTCTAACCCCAGCCTTGGAGCGCTGTGGGTCTTCTAGTTTTCTACCTTCTACCTCAGCTCATACTTGTTTAACAGAAGTGATTATTTTCTCATTTGGACTATTTTCATCCTTTTACCAGCTATGAAACCAATGTGTATTTAAAAAGAAGCCTCGAAAAGTTGCTGACCTGTGACACTTGAACACCAGAGTGGTGCTCTCTTTTTGAGCTTCTGGCACTGTTGCCATGGAAAATGCCGGTTCATACCCCGTGTGCTTTCATCATACTGACAGACACCCCCAGGTGGTTGGCCTACAGCTGATGCTGTGCTTAACCATCATTGGCCCTGCACAGCTACTGCACATGCTACAGTTTAACTGGGGGGCAACAGGGCAGTGTTTCTTCAGCCTCCCAGTGTTTTCAAAGGAGCTCGTGCAGACCAGCAGAGCACACACTACATCAGTAAGATCACACCAGGCAGGTACATGTTACAGGAATATCCTCCTTTGCTTTCTTTATTACATATCGATCAGGATATTGATGGCCAAGCAAAGTGGCAGATCCTCAAGGCAAAAAATCCCCAACAAAATAGTAAAGGAAAAATTATCTTGTTGAACACACCCAAGTATTCTACTGTATGTTAAACTCATTAGGAGCAAATCAATTACTGTTGATTTTACAATGTAATTTCTTTTTGTACTTTAAGAGACACTGAGGCAGTTTGTCGAGTGACACAGAGTAGCATAGGTAAGTTAACATATTCCAGCAACTATTCCACAGCATGATTAAATGCTGACACTATACCCTTGAATATATATTGATATATTTGTCCCACTTCATCTATATATATATACTGTATACCTGTTTGTATTGTCTAAACTTTTAAAACAGAATATCTTATTCTCTCCATATCTCGCTGACATTTCAGTTCTCCAGATGGATTGTGCTGAGGAAGCAGAGAGCTGGGAGGTCAGTTTGAGGGGCTCGTGGGGAGGATCTGGGGCTGGGCGCGAGAGCCGTCCCTGTCACCAGCAGTGTAGGGACGAATGTGGCTTTGCCAAACCCCACAAGCTGAGCTAGGCGAGCTGAGAGCCATGACAAAAGTTTTCATCGCAGTCAATCTGATGATTGGCCCCATAGGAGCACAGGTTGGGGGGGGGGGGAGGCATTGTTGTGGACCATCCCAGTTCAGACAGATTTGTCTCAGACAACACCGATCTGACCTCTAGTCATTGCTGGGGCAGGAAGTAACAGACAAAAAGTTCTATCTGAAGGATATCCAATAGTTACAGGACATGTGAATACCTCTAGGGAGTTGCCAAGTCAATGGCTCACAATGTCACTTTCTCAGGTGTCAGACCATCTGGATGATGGTCTTAAAGTCACAGGTTGTGATCAATTATGAAAGATGACTGACCAATCACGGACCAGTAGGCTTTGGACACTGACACCACCTGGTGACTTCCTAACCAATCACTAACCGTATTTTTCATTGGCACGCTTGAATATTTCAATATTCAGAAGTAGCCACTCCCAAGTTTCTCCACCTATTAGTAACTTGCCCTGACCAAACAGTCACCCTTGTGAATTGAGAATTGAGAATTGAGAGACAGCAGGAGGCTGCCACAGGACTTTCTCTCTCTCCTCCCCCAGCATTCCAGCGCCGCACCAGGACTGGCTGACATCAGGCCGGCAGAGCACAGATCGGCCATCACTTACATAAGCCCAATCACCTGTTTCCTCATCCGACTGCATGGGAGTTACAAACCCACGGTATAATTCGATATTCAGCATTATCCAGCTCCAGAATCCAATTGCTAACCTAAAACATTTTAAAAATAAATTTTATTAATCTAAGTAACAGTATTTACTTTACAGTATATCTTAGTAACCCTCAAGTAAACAATCTGTAATTGTATCTAGGCATTTTGTTTTTATTTCTATGTTTTTTGTAGATATTGTGTGCATTAATAAATATATTGTGTGTATTTTGAATCCGTGCAGACTGCTTGTTGATCTGCTGATTGATCATGTAATTTACTGTTACAGTTAATAAATTGTGCCAGTAAATACACAAAACTCCACACAACCAGTCTTCACATTCTCTCCAACGCTCCTGTACTGCTAAATGTGTACGGTAACTGTGCATAAATACCTCTATGTAACTTTGACCCATATGTGACGTATCCCAGGACACTGCCTTTCACACCACAGCTTTGTAGCTCGGCACAAGCAACTAGAGATTCTTTGTGAAAAGAAGTGCGTCTTATTCTCAGTTCTAGATCTCTTTTTTTGTATTTTCTGTGGTGCCACTCTGAGCAGTAAACTGGATTGCCTATATTGAACATATTTGTTGCCTATATTTTTTGGAGAATTTTGTGAATAGCATGACCAAACCCCTTGTTGTTCCAAGCTAAAAAGCTAAAAAGATTCCGTTCTTGTTTTCACTTACAGACTTTTCCTTCCTGGTTTATTCTCTACATGTATTAACAGGATTAGATGTATGTGATTATATATATTTAGCACTGTATTGCAAAGTTTTGTTTTCTGATTATTATATCATTTTAGAGGTTCTTTATGTTGTCAGGAAGACTGCAAATCCCTGCTCTGAAAGCTAAAATATTTTACTTTTTAAAACACAGAAATCTTTAACTGCAAAGATTGTATAAGTACAGACCAATCACTGTACTGTGGAAGAGGGGAAGCATTATTGTTTCAGAACCTCAAGGCCACAGCCTGCAAGCTGTGATCAACACAGAATACCAGAGGGTTACAAAACTGCCAGAGGTTGAGCAGGCGATCCATGCAGATAGCCTGTTAGGGTGCCTATTCCTGAAGCACAGAGTGTGTTTAAAGGAGATGAAAGAGGGGGGTGAGCTCAAAGCAGCCCCAAACACAAGGACACCCAGAGGAAACCCACGCGAACCAGAGAGAACACACAAATACTCCATGTTTGAACCCAGGGCCCCAGCCCTGTGAGGCAGCAATGCTAACCACTGCTCCCCAATGCCTCCCAGCTGCACAGCTATTGGGCACCAAAAAATACCTCCTTCCTGTCTTCACAGTCCCAGTCCCTGTCTCTCTCCTTCTCTCAGGTCTTACACTTTCTTCTCCTTCTCTCTTTCCTCTGCCTTCCGTTGCCTCCTGCTCTCTTCCCTCTGCCCTCCCACTTTTCTCCGGCCCTCCCCTCCCACACCTCAGCCCTTCCCACACCCTGAGTCCCATTCGCTCACCTCTCGGCCTCCTCCCTGCTCAGCGTGTTGGTCAGGCCCTGCTTTCCTCCGCTGCCGCCCCCTCCTCCTCCTCCCCCCGTCTCCAGCAGCTCCTGCTCCAGCGAGGAGGATGTGCTGCCCTCCCGGCTGACGGCGCTGTTCCTCCCGGGGCTGTTCTCGGCTGAGGCGCGAGGCGAGTCAGTGTTCTGCTTCAGAGTCTGCAGCTTGGCCAAGGGGATGATGTCACAGTTCTGGGGCCGGTGCCAGACAGTGCGCTGCGAGGAGGCGTTGTAGTAGTAGAAGCGGGAGGTGTTGGGGTCGAAGAGCTCCCACCACTGGTTGTCGCTGGTACGTTTGATGCGCACGCCCTGGGGGGGATCCCAGACGCATTCCCCTGTCAACAGGTTGGCGTACATCCGCTCTCGGGTGCGCGGCTCGATGATTTCCACCCATTCCAGCCTGGGGGAGAGAGAAGAGGCAATTCCCACCTGTGTTTTCAGCTCTTCCGAGAAAGGAACGCCATGGGCTGTGGACACTATCCCGTGTCGGTAAAGATAGCAGGATTTTTACTTTTTCTTAAAACAATGTGGTAAGGTAGATGGAGTTCCGTCAGGTGAAAAGAGGACTGAGTGAGTAAGAATATGGTATGTCTGAACTCATAACATCTGAGCTGATATCCCGTTCATTTTCTGATTTCCTATGAAAGTCAGATACGTAGAAGTTTCTCCCAGCACAGCAGGGATTTAGAAATACGACAGTAGAAATTATGAAAAAAGTACTGCAGCTGGTGAGTGAGACTGGGGATCCCTTCTTACAGCAGCTTTCAGATGGTACTGAGACACACACACACATAGTATACACACACGGAGAGACCTGATAAAGCTTAAGATTGTCAAGGTGAAAATATAGGCAGCTGTAGAAATTGATGGGTTGGGTTACAGTATTGAGGTGAAAAAGTCAAAACAGCTTTCTTGGGGAACAAGTCAGTGTTGCTGAGAAGGAGATGATTTATCTATAGAGTGCCTTGTGACATAGAATATTCAGTTTGAAAAATGGAAATACTTCAACATAACAGAGAAAACACATTTTACACATTAACATATAAACAGTACGTACACTGTACATTATACAAGAATTGACCATGCTAAAAGGCTACTTCATAGTATGCCTTAGAGAGTGCACGCGCATGTGCTTGCACCCAAGAATGGACACAGAACCTCTTTCACCTTCACAGCTCAATCCTCTCTTCTGCATCCTTGGATGTGCAAACATGGCCATGTGTTCTTATCTGTTCAACTCTAATCCCTGCTGTGCAGGAAGAAAAGGCAATAATTTAGCAGGCATTGCACCGATTGGGAGGACACTTAGCACAATTATTAGTTTGTGTGTATAAGAGGGGATTTTTCCATTCTCAGTTCTATTTCACAAGCACATCACGTAGCCTGCTGAGAGAGTGTCAGAGTGTGAGTGCCTGGCTCTGAGTGTCTGTGTGCGAACAGTCTGTCTACACGAGAGGTGGCACATTGCTCCAGACCCTGCTGAACAGCTTGGCAGAAACAGGGCTGCCTTTGTTTTTTCTTCACTGTTAGGGTACTGTTTCTGCTTTTTCTATTTAACTTTATGTTGTTCTTCCACAGATTAAGTACAGAGCCATTACACAGTAAAACTAGCAAGACTGATGCAGGGCTAATGACATGTACAGTATCTGATGCAACAGTGCTCACAGATCGAAGAAGACACAAACACCGCCCAGCCCTGTACCTCAGACACCAACCTAGAATCACTGCACAACTGCTCCCTTTAGCAGGCAATCATTTTCATGTGTTTCAATGGCAGTTTCAATCGACTGCCGAAACTTGAAAATCATCTTAAAGAGGCTGAATTTTCAGTGTTTTCATTCTAATGAAAAACTAAGACACATAACAGAAAGAAGAATATCTGAGCAGATGACAGTATACAATGCAGTGAGATCCATAAATGCAATGATGAGATAGTGTCCACTACACTGTAATATTTCTCGGCATGAAGCACTCCATATTTATATTTATATTGAGTTTGTTATGACCAGCCAGCTTGAGAGTGTTACGCAAAATTAAAAACAAAGTACAAGAGTACACAAGCAAGGCAGGCTGTAACCAAACAGGTAAAATCCTATTTAAAAAGATACTTTTAGGAATGTATAGCAGAGATTTTCTCCCTTAGAAAACAGCAAATACAATTTCTGGAAATCTTGGCAACGTTTATAACCAATTTAGCTTGGTAAGAGTAAGTCAAGCTTGTCATTGTAGCAAATTTTCAGTTGAAAATCTTCAAAAACTTGAACACAAATACCTCAGGTCAGCTGTACATGAGCAGTCAATATGATGGGGTAGCTAATCCATTACATTTACCAATCAAATATAATTGACTCGTTGTATGGTGTTTCTTTTCATTAACATCATTTGCTCTCTACAAACCCATTAAACAAAAAGGCTACTTGATGTACTGCAATATATGATCCTAGATTAACTTAACAGCTAACATTTCAGTAGAGGATCACCACAGAACCGTGTTTTACATAATGACTAAACATGCCTAAGTATTTTACAAAGCAGTGTACATACTAAGAGAGCTTGTGACACATGACACATACATTCTTTGAGCTTATCATATATAGAACATATATCCTAAAGAGCTTGTCATATGGAACATATACCCTGATGACTTGTCATATGTGGCACATATATGTGGTCTAGGAGGCAATATAACCATTCACCCTAAGCATTGGTGGGAAAAATACATTCTATCCTCTTCAAACTTGCACCACAGCTCTCATACACATGAAGACTTCTTTTTAGTGTGTATAAAAATCAATTTGTTTTTATCAAGTTAAAATTAGCTTTTCATTGTCATGTAACAGACTCCTTGTTCATTTGTATGTAATACAAAAAAATATTTATGCACCTTTATTTGTAAACCAGTATACTTATTAAATACTTATTTTTACAGATATCCATCTGAATATTTACTACCTACAGCTCCGGTGGAAAATACCTTGACCATTCTGTACATGTGCCCTATCTGGCCAGCAGGGGTACCTCCATCCAGCATGGATACAGTAAAGAGAACAAGGTGCTAAACTGTACCTCCAGTTCAGGTGCCAGTTTGGGATGCATGCAAATACTGAACAGCTGTCTCTGCTAGGGTTAAACGTTTGAACAGTCCAAAACTTTGCCCCACCACCACTGGTCACACCTGTTATTAACATAGTGTACCATGTAAGCCCCACATTCTTCAGTCTGGCCATAGTAACATGGTCCAGGGGAACTATTATCAGGCCTTGCTGCAGAATTCTAATGTCTATTAATGGGAAGATGGTTTAGGGTCAACAAATTACAGGGATTAAGTGTTGGGCTAATACCATTCTACCTAACAGTACCCCTGGGTTATGGTCTAAGGCTGTAATCCTCTCCTTGACTAAACAGAGATGGCTTGCGGAATGCAGTTTCTTTATCTTTGAAATGCCCATGCCTTCACTTCCAGAGCAATCACAAAGGCTGTCTCTAAAAAAGTGTTTTTTAATTGCATGATGGCGCGATTGTTAATTCGGTACTTGTAGAAAGTCCGGGAACGATGGCACCATGTAATGTAGGGCATGAAGCCAGCAGGCGCCATGTGGTCTTCTGCTGAATGGTGTCAACTGAATTGTTTGGTTACAGAACATTAAATAAAGCAAGAACTGTTAAGATGTTCCAAGGACAACCTGCTGTGTGTTCAAAATGACTATTACATGACTATTATTTATTCTGGTTGTAACCTATGAAACTTGCAACACTTTGAACAAGGGTAACTAGTACTGCCTATGGAACTTTGACTCTTGAGGTCTGGAGCTGGGGACCAATGCAGGAGAAAATCACCCCCTCGGGCTCAGGCATATATCCTCCATCTAGCATGGACACAAACTGCTGAGGCTTTAAGGCTGGAGCAGTAACTGAAAGATAATGTAAGTACTTATCTGTACTGCCTGCCATGGAAAGGTGTCTTTTTCACTTGGTTTACATTCAATTAAAACCCAAAATGCTCTTTCCTAGAGACTTCCTAGCCAGTGAGAAGCCAGGTTCATCTCAAAAACCCCTCAGCTCAGGGATACAGAACAGCGAGGTTATCAATGTCCACCAGATGAAGAATTCAATGTGGAATTCTAGCACTGGTAACTATTGCAACCGTGTCTTTATTCTTCACTGTTTTTGTATATTTTAATTTGGAACAAAGTTGGAAAAAGTAGCCAAAAAAATAAAATGACCTCTACAACCACTCCACCCTGCCAAAATAGAAAAAAGAGTACAGAAGCCATGTTCTAAAAATCTAGGATGAGAGCTGTCCGTCATAGGCAGGTGCTGAAATAGGTGTGTGTGTGGAAGAGGACAGAGGAATGGTGATATGGCAAATATGAGTATTATTAGCAGAAAAAATGCTTCTCTCCTTAGCCAGGACAGGCAGGTGCTCTGTATGGCTCTCACACACTAAATCTCAGTGCTCAGCAGCAGCTCTTTGCTTCTAGTGGGGAGGGATGAGAAGAGAGCTGGTACCTCTACCCCTTTACACTCTGAAATTGAGTTGCCAATCACAGTAACTCCTACAGAATTAAGCACAGACGTGATTAAGTGTGATCCATACCTCTGCATACAACAACGCCAGCCTGTCACCATAACAGTAGCTCGCTTTTACTTAAAATTCTCCAAAAGCATCACGCAATGATACTCATATAAAACACTGTCATGACTATAATAAATAATGTACATTTAATTTTAAAAAGTTGATCTTATTTATTCACTGACATATTGTGTATCAGTACTGCACTGCAAAATGTCACTGTGGACTCCACGTCATTTTCTCATTAGAACAGCCTGAAGGACAGTCCTGGCTCAGAAATCATCCCCTGTCTGACTGCTCTGCTCTAAAAGCAGAGGCCAGTGCCTTTAAAATGAGTATTGACCATTCCTGGGTACTGTGCCCGGTCAGTCTCTGACAAGGGGAAACACATGGCGCTATTGAACACCGAACTGATTGAATAAAGAAAGATTACAGCACAGGCTGCGTCTTCAAGCTTTTTCTTCAAAACCAAGAACATGAGGCACTTTTGTATCCAGAAGGTTGTGAGAATATGGGATGAGCTACCCTGCCATGTTGTTGAAAACAATACCTTGGTATCTTTCAAGAAACTTCAGGATAAGAACCTTGGATCAATTAACTACTAACTGTCAAACAGGATTAATGTCTTGAATGGCCTCCTCTTGTTTGCAACTTTTGTGACTTTTTGGAAAGGGGTAAATACTTTTGTAAGGCAATATACATATTGACCTGAAACATGTTAAACCTGAAACAGTCCAAAGAGAGTCTTCTTTACTACTCTTCAGTCCAAAATATTGGTTGCCTTACAAACTGTGACAAATAATTGGGTGAAGCTGGGAGGTCACATG